CGTGTTGGTGCAAACGCGGTGTCCGATTTCATCCGTGTTGGTGCAAATGTGGTGTCCGATTTCATCCGTTCTGGTGCAAACGTGGTGCTTGAACTGCGCTGGCGTTCAATGTTGGTGCAAAACCTGGTGCTATGCAAACCTGATGTCAGATTTAGCCTGGCCGAAGTTGGTGCTGGATTTCACAAAAATTGGTGAGAACCTGGTGAAAGACAGGCGCTCGATTTTTGATCCTGGTGTCAAAAAGTGGCACCGGGCTTCACAGGAAGTGATTTGATCTTGAAAATGAAATTAAATCGTCTTAGTCTTAGGCTCTTAGTACTAGGGTCCGGTCTTAAAGTGCATCCCCAAACGAAACCACGCTCAAATATCCGCAACCCAACTTGCTTTTCTCCAACACCACGGCCGTGTTGGCGACATCAACGTCTCTCTTGTGGCAAACAAACTGCCAAAACCCTTTCCTTTTTACGCTCTGCGACACCCAAACAGTAAAGTTGCCAACGATGGCAGTCCACGAGCAGGAAACATTCGATCAGTCACACGGGCCCGATGGTGAGCCTTCAAATTCGGAGTCAGCGTTTGTTTCTGACTCCTCCTCCTCTGCCCTTGCTTCTGAATTTGATTCATTTGAATCTGAAAGTGCCAAATTGAGGCGGTCGAAGCCTTCGCAAGGCAGCATAAACTCCTCCTGCATACCACTGGTGAGCAAAACCTAAGGCCGAAACACTCAACCTGCAAGAGGAAACTATCCAAACCCAAACAGGTGCAAAGTACAGTGCATAGTGTACGTAGCACGCAGCGTGCAATGGCTTGCTTCGAGTGTCTGCTGCGAGGCATGCGCCAATCACCGGCACCGACATGGCATTTCCTGGCAGCTGGCGGTAGGAGAAATTGAAATTACAGTCTGGAGGCAGCAAAAGCAAAACGAAAAATTAATCATGGTCCTGCCAGAAGGCGGTACGTAGCAGGCGCAAAGCTTCCGCTTAAGTCGAGACGCTTCAAATTGAATCCCTGCCTTGGACCATCATGCTCGGTGATTTGTCTCTGCCCCTACTTGGACAAGTGGACAAGCGCCTTTAAGACGACTTTATGTTTTAATTCTCAGGCCATGGCAGTGCCAGAACGGCAGGACCATCTATCAACCGGTTGTGCTCAAAGCTGTAAATTTTTGAATTGCAGGTCAACCTGGCTGCAGGCACGCGACACGACGCTGTAGCTGCAGTTTCACAAAAGATGACTTCAGCTTCAACTAAAAGGTCCCAGCTACGTTGGAGCTAGGTCGTCAGCCCGCCAGCAATTACGGCTGAGGCTTTTAATGACATCCGTAGCCATTTTTTCACGAATGTCATCCTCACGTGCCATGCAAACAATACGGCTGATAAAAATCATGGGCCAGCCAACAAACTGAACTCTGATACGACGAAGGAGCAGGAGCCGAATGCCACAATAGATCCAATTGCTCGCATTCGCGAGCATTGAGCCCATAGCCCCAGGTGGAATCCCTCTTGCGGCATCCCAAAGTATACCTAAGGCCCGAGAGCCAGGGACCCGATGAATTAGAGAAAAACAAACGCATAGGAATTGCAACTTGAGGACTCTCTGTAGGTCTCCTCAGGAGCCTTTGCAAGCCCCAGCTTTTTACGCTGCTTGGTCATTTCGTCCCGCATACGCCCGCTTGCCTCAGCGCCACCACACGTTAGGCATCAATATCATATAGTATAAATATCATTAGAGTCATAGAGTCAGAGTCAAGTAGTATGAGAGTTTATCCAGTGACAGTGGTGATAGATGAGGAGTCTTTTTCTTCGGACCCCAGTCGCTCTTTGGTTGCCTGGCAGATCACTGCAAATCCAAAAGCAATGAAATCCGCTCAGGGAAACCATCTAGGAATCAGATTAGCCGACCAGCTGGATGAGCGTGCGGCGTAGGACGCGCTGCTGGCTAGACTGCACTGGTGGTGGTGTCTAGATCTGTGCTGCAGCTCTCTTGAATGCCTGGATCCCAGCCCAAAACGTCTGAACTTAACCAACACATTTTCGAATTTGATACGACTGGGTCTCAAGTCACAGTTGAAAGTTGAAAGTGAGATCCAAGCCACAAAGTCTTTAAACTAACGCGGGATTTGTCCGGCACATTGCAAACAAACCAATGGCTTGACCCAACCAAACTTTTTATTGTTTGTCTCATCTCTCAAACAGACCGAAACCGGGCTACCACGGCGCACCCTTCTTCAAAGGTACCATTCAGCGCCGGTGTCATTTTGACACTCGATGACAAGGCAATGGCCGCTGTCAGCCTAGTCTCCTGTCGACTTCTGTGCTCTACCCTTTGGAGTAGCCTTACACTTAGCCTTAGGCTGCTTAGCCGAAGCCGATTCATCTTTTGCGGGCTTGGCCAATTGCTGTAATTCCTGCAAGTCATGGCATGTCGGGGTGGGCCAACATGCACGCAAGGCATCAATGAAAACAAATGAAATAAGTCAGGAAAACCAGCCACGTTCGACGTTCTTCCGAGTCCTTGGCTAACTTCTCCAGCTTTGCAGCAACCTCCTTGGGACAATCCTTCTTCGGGAGTTTCAGGACTTCCGCGACGAAGGTTTTGAAGTCTGCCATTGACTGCACGAGCTCCTGCACAACACTCTGCTCGATTTTTTGGCCACCCTCTGCATTCTTCTCCGTGAAGGTGCCGACGAGGTCAGCTGCCAGGAATGTGTAGATTCCTTCCCGCATCAACTGCCCATTTGGCTCTGCAGTGAACGCAAGCTCCAGCTTCTGAAAAGCAGCAGACATCAGTAAATCTTGAGACCCTGTGGCAGTCTCTGTGCCCTCATACTGACGGAGGTCCTTTTTCCAGTCCAAAAGGGCATTCCCGAAAGCTTCCTGCTGCACAAGTTCGTCCAAACCTCCGGGCAAGGGAAGCGTGAACTGGTCCTATATATTAATTATTCTATTTTAGAATATATTATAATACAAAAAATAAAATAACATAAAATAATAACATACTACTCTGGAGCTGGAGTCTGATTTGAATCGAACTAAATTTGACTCTGATGGATCACGGACCCGCGCAAGACCCCACCCGCCTTTCACGTTGGATTGCATTCATTCATCGTTGACTGCATCGTCTTCCCTCATCAACTTCACATAGGTGTCCTGGCCATCTTCTGACATGAATGCCTTATTGACGGCAGTGATTTTTGCAAAGGCCAGCTGCACATCTTTCTTGCGTGCATCCAAGGACTCAGCCGTGTTGTAGATCGTCTGAAGCACATTCTTCTTCAGAGCCTCACGAGCTGCGTCCAGCCCAGTCACATCGCGCACGGATAGCAAGTCGACATAGCACAAAGCCCCAAACTTCAAGGTCTCCTTGTCAACCCAAGCTTTTTGGGCAAACATGGGAGGTTGCTCTTCTGGTGGCAATTCAGACTGGCTGATGAGCAAGACAACCCTCAGGATTCTTTCCACTTCTGGCCCCAATGACGACCTGACGGATGAGCTCAGGCTTAGGAGATCAGATCGAAGGCCTTTGTTGATTAGGCTTTTGCACCACGGCGCTGGCATTTGGCCCAAGGAAAGCACATCCGTCAAGCCCGCCATAACGCCACCAATGCAAGGCGGGAGCTTTGCACCTTCACCTGCAAAAACCGGAGTCTCTGAGAGAAGCAACAGTATCTAATAGTAATTAGTAATTAGTATTAGTATTAGTAGTCGTCGTGGTCGTAGTGGTAGTGGTAGTAGTAGATCGTCCGGATACATACCCGCTCTAGAGTCGCGCGTTTTACCACCAGGGCACCACAATTTCCAAGCGCCCTGTGTGCTTTATTGGACTGAAATTTGCGCAAAGCAGTGGTAGCTTCGACAAAGGTGTCCACGGTCAGGTCGGAGTCGACTTTCCCCACGCTGTGGAGTGTGAGGAGGGCTTGAGGAACCAATTGAACCATGGAGTCCACGACATTCTGAGGGACCTCGCCCCAATTTCCCACCTGCTGGACAACAACTCAAAACTCACAAGTACGTAGTAAGTTAGTAATTGGTAAATATATAATATTTTTTCTATATTTAGTAAGTATATTAGTCTCATAGTCGCTCTTATTTCTTTAAAGATATGATTCGAGAATTCGAGATGCTGAATGAATATAGTCAGTAGCCATGTCCACAAGATGATGCCGGCAGAAAGCTGCGGCCCCGGCCTTGAATGCACGAAGCAGACGGCACAGGTTCTTGAATGTCTCAGGCTGCACGAAGAGGTCTGAAAAGGGGTTCTTGTGCCCATTTTGTGCCACGCAGCATGCAACTGCCTCGCCAGCATGGTCCCCATTCAACTGAAGAACTTTGCCCAATTTCTCGAGAAAGTTCTTTGCCTCCACCACTCCCTCCGCCACTGAATCATCATCGGCGGTAAAATCTTCTATTTGCTTCTGCAAATCCAAAAAGGAGTCAACCATGGTGGTGTCTGCTGAAGTTCGAATGACGAAAGAGCCACCTGCTGCCTCTGGGTCCTCCAAAGCCGACGTTACCTGCTCTGGAACCGCAGCCAGGGTTTTTGCAACGTCAACCGAAGAAGCCCCAGGAGCCGCCTTTGCAAAGGCCTCGAGGCGATTCCACCATTGCCTTTCAGGGCGCGAGTCAAGCACATGCAACATGACAGACAGGAAAAAGTGTATGTGATGCGACGTGTATGATCTCCCGGTAACCGGTCCTGGTATATATTATTGATTCTTGATTGATTGATTTGTGTCAACAAGACGATTAGACACACAGACCGGCAGACAGACCTGACCTACCTAACCAGCCTTGACACTCCAGCTTTGAAGAAACCGGACAACTTGTCAGAGCAAAAATCCTTCTTGTCAAGAGCAACTTCAGCCAGTGGACCTAGCTTTTTCCATGAAGTCTCCTGGGCAAAAAATCAATTTGTTTTACTCAAAACGAAGATCGGTGAATCGATTGCTTTAATAGGACAGGACAGGACTGAACTATAAAAAAACACCTGAGAAGTTCATGACGGTCCTCATCCCAGTCCGTGGCAAGAGCGCGGCAAATTTGCACATCAAAGAGGACTTGGTTGCTGTACTGGATCGGGGCAGTCGGATTTGGTGAAGTAGGCTTCCGGGCATCAAAGTCCTTGGGGAGTTTGGCCAAGTCCAAGCCCAAATCTGGCAGCCTCAGATGATCACAGTAAGCCCAAACGTCTCAATTGCAAGAATCCCGAAGCCCCGCACTCTAACACACAGAGGCAACCGAGAACCAAAAAAAATGATGTTTGCTGTTGCGTGCAAGGAACGCCGTGATCATGCATCTCACTTTCTTGTCAGACCTGTTCCGGAAAACGCGGTCGTAGAACATGCCCAGAAGCTGCAGTTGCAAACTGTCCGCGGCCCTCGCAGCTGCAATCTCCTCCATGGAACTCCCTATCGAAGCTTGGATGTACTGGTCCAAGCATAATCCACCCGTTGGCTCAAGGACATCATCTTCAAAAGCTGCGACACAGGCTCGGCGCAATCCTGACGTTGGTTTTTGCAATCCAAATAAGAAAATACTAAAAACAATACCGCTTCAATTCTGCTGCTCTACTGTTCCACAAAGCATTTCAAGCCATTGGAATCCTAAGTGAGGGGTGTGGGCCCACCCCCTGCCTGGTCCAAGTCTTTTGTCAAGCATGTTGCCACATGGACAAGAACTTGCGCAACCATGGGGGGGCTCATCATGCACAAAGCATCAGTCTGTTCCGGCTCCATGGTAGCAATGAAGGAGATTGGATCCTTCTTGAGTGCACTGAGCACATCAAACTTCTTGCCAACTGCCGCAGTGAAGCGTGAAATCTCTTCAAGCAATTCCTTCTGTGTTTCATCGCCAATGAGTTTGGCTGAAGCATCATCCAACTGCTTGACAGCTTGATCGACTTGCCTCTTCCTCGTTTGCCCCTTCCACAAAGCCTGATCCTCAAACTGTGTCTGTTTTTGCTCCAGAAGCTGCCTTGCCTTTTTGGAATGGGCGGTGGTGCCACGGCCCTTTACCCTTTTGTTGGGAGCCGAGCCGCCTTCAGTCTTCTTCTGCTGCGTTGCCTCGCCTTGCGGCTCCGGAGGCTCAAAGGGAGTCATCTCCAAATCACCTGGAGGCACCAGCAAACTTTCAGGCGGCGGCCTTGCAGGCGGGGTAGTAACCCGACTTGGCGCTCCTTGGAGTCGATGACGGTTCAAAAATGATGAAGAGGTCGAAGGGCCCCCCAAGCTGCTGAAACCCATGTCAACATCACTCTCCTCCTCACCCAAAGAAGGACGTGCGATGGTATGCGTAAGCCCTGCCCCCGTCGCAGTGCCAGCGCTTGCCAATTTGTCCTGGTGCTCTTTGATCTTTCGATCCAGATCCTGGGAGGAATTGGTCTTGCGCTTCATGCCCTCAAACTCCCCGCGAGAGGCTACGAAGGCTGACATTGCTGCAGATCCCTTCTCGTGATGGTCAACCTTAGTTTACTTAGTCCGAGTCTGGAGTATGAAGTCTCAGTCTAAGTCTGGTTTAGTGAGTGAATGCATAGCTGCTGACCAGGTTAGAGTTAGAATTGACTTAATTAATAGTACTGTAACATACAGTATAGTCTAGTCAGTATAGTCCAGGGTTTGAAGGCATCGGCGTTGGCATCGGTGATTGAATTTGGACTGGACTGAGCTGAGTACTCGTGTCTTGCCAGCTGCATGACGGGCGCCCAGCTTCACTTTACGTTTCCCATCCATAATCACCACCGCGCTGATGCCCTTGTCCTGGGTCACCTGAAGACCAAGGTCCTGACAAAGGGCAAGGGCACGTGCACTGCAAACAGTCGCAAAACCTAAGAACGAGGGCTTTGGGAACAGGATTTCGGGAAAGGTCATGGGACCCGGGATGGGCATGGTAGCACGGTAACAACGCATGCGTGGGAGTAATTGAGTACTTTTCGCGTCCCAAGCCTGCTCGATGAATCTGATTTGCATGTCTTCTGCCCCAATAGTGGAGGGATCATATCCCTTGCTGGCGAGGAAGTCAGGAACAGGAAGGATTTCTCCTTCATCATAGAACTCCGCAAAGTCTTCCTCGTTGCGGTAAGTGTTGAGGTCGACCTTTTCGTATTTTCTCTTCCGACCGTCGTCAGCAGGGATGCAATTCTCAGCACGCTTCTCCTCCCACTTTGTGTTCACCTCCTACGAGAAGGTTCTCGTAGGGCCGTATGGGCCCGCGCACAACGGTGGGGCGGCGCTACCCCCAAAAAACTGTTTTTGCTTCTGCCCTTCCGTGACAATGGAAGGACAAAGTGCAAAAAAAAGAAACGTGAATCACAAACCGGATCCGTTCGAGTCCTCGCTGTCTGACTTGGCTTTGTTCAGGGTAGATTGGCTGACCCCACCAAAGTTTCGCAATCGGGTTACCTGAGGAAAAGTTGAGAGTCTAGTCTAGTCTGCGCTCGTCTCGTTCTTTCACTAGCCTTATTAGTTTAATTAGTAGTTGTCACTGCTGCTGCTGCTGTTGATATCATTGAGATATTAGTTATTTAAATTATTAGTCTATCAGTGATATGTGATATCTATTTCAGTTGAAGAAGTTCTAGACTTAGTACTTACTTAGTACTTAGTAGTACTAGTACTACTGTTCTACTGCTTAGTACTCAGTATCTTCTATCTTCAGTTCGTCAGTTCAGTTCCAAGTCATCACATTTCAGCTCGGACCCTCACACAGCAGCGGCCGCACTCGTTGCCCTCCTCTCGATCTCGCTGACCGGTCTCCTGGTCATTGCAAGAAAACATTGAACATGGGCGCCAAACTCATCTCATCACCTTGGAAAAATAGTTTTCTTAACTTCAACGAAAACAACCCCAGTCCCGAGAAATACCACGTTTGGGCCAGTAGAGGATGCCCTGGTTCGGGTGGAAACGGTCCACCGTCCGTGCTTTTTGTAGGCACGTTGTGCAAGTGGGCAACCCGGCCATGTTGCAGTCGCAATCTGAATGGTCTTCTGACTGCATTCTCTGCAAAAACCCGACGAAGCTTACAACAAAGGACTGGCTTGACAACAAAAGCGGCTGCAACAAAAGCGGGCATTGGTCAAGGCATCCAACTACTGACTGCGTCACCAGTCACTCGAACGTACACTCTGACTCTTACTCTTAGTCTTAGTCTTAGTGTTTGTCCAACAAAGCACCCGAACCACGTTGCGCGAGCATTAGAGGTACGGCCGCGCTTCAGTCCCGTGCCAAGACGCAACCTTCTCGAGTGGTTCAGGTGGATCTCGGGCAAGAACCTGAGCTGAACTGGTTCTGCACGCCAGTCTGCCTATAGCCTATAGCCTATAGCTATAAGCTATAGGCTATAGCCGCCTATAAGTAGACCACCGTGCTTTCCAGAAAAAATGACATGGAAACCTTTAGGCCGCCTATGCCTATGCCTATGTAGCCTAGGGCCTAGAGCCTATAGCCTATGGTTTAAAGTTTCCCATGTCAATGCTTTCTTGCCTGTCCGTGGTCACGACGGTCGGCCCCTGTCAACCTCAGTCCACCGGTCGATGTCCAAGTCTGAGGTCTCCGTTCCCGGTCCATCCCCAAACTGCGGGGAGCTCAAATTCATTCGAGGATTTGCAAATCTCTTAACTTAATTAATCTTGAAAAGATCTCATTTTCCCCTCAAGTTTTCCCCAGATAGCGTGACACGAGCTGTTGGGGTTCCTTCGAACTTCGGAACTTCAGAACTTCAGAACCTCATGTATAGGAAGTGCCGCCTGCAAGTTTTCCGCTTGGATTGGCCTTCGAAAAACGACAACACAAGTCCAGGTTTCCGACTTATGATCGTGGGGCTGCCTGATCCGATTCGTTGCTAATTTTCCACTTCGATTGGCCCCCACAAGTCAGGTTTTCACCTTCAAAACCTGCATTTCAAGCAGGTCGAACCGGACTTGCGGGGGTCATTTTTTGCAGGCCAATCCAAATGGAAAATTGCAAGATCCGATGGTCCGATGATCCGATTATCCGATGGTCCGATGATCCGATGATCCGATGGTCCGATTCGATGATCCGATGATCCGATGCAGGTTGATCCGATGGTCCGAGATGATCCGATGGTCCCATGATCCGATGATCCGACGGTCCGATGGTCGGGCGATCCGAAGATCCGTTGGTCCGATGATTCATCCGATGATCCGATGGT